TGTTGTTACACAAACTTAGACTTGCACCTACTTTCCAACATGTTATTTACACTCTCTCATATATTACCTATCGATTTGTCCCTCTGAGTCTAAGGCACTAAAGTCTTATGCATGATCTTAATTTCACTGGGACTACTCATGCAGGTGAAGTTAAGCAGATGTGTGAATCTTTGCAGGATCAAAGCCATAGCAAGAGTAGAAGAGGGGTCAGAAAAGAGAGATGTAGCAGAATAATGAGGGGATGAAAGAAAGCTGTAAGATAAGTGGAGGTGTGATCTACTTCTACCCTCCTATTAAAGTGCAAAAATAACTCTTTCAAAATTAAACAGTCTGGAGAACACAGTGAAATTTTTGTCTCTCTCGCTCGCTCTCTCTCTCTCTTTTTTTTTTTTTTAAACTAAATTTGGACTAGAACTTAAATCTGAAATTCAAATCCAGCTTACACCCAGCAACCCCATTAAAAATATAAACCTCCAAACCTCAAAATGTATTAATTACTGGATATCAGGCAAAATAGCTACTTGTCATTTACCAGTAGTTACTTAGAATTGCTCAGAATTGTTTAATATTTGTTAAAAATTACTTGGTTTCTAAAGACTAACTCCCAGCAAACTTATTACTTGGCATCTATTAAATAATTGCCTAGAATCGTTTAGTCACTAATAAATGACAAGAGAATTGTTTTAATAAGGATTAGTAATATAAAACTAAGTCATTTCTAACAGGTACTGAGTAACTCCAGATAATTTTTGTTGGGAATTACCTAGTGATTTTTAAGTAATTAATTCTAATTTGTACTAAAGCAATCACTTCTTGCAAATCTGCAAATATCAAGAATGATTAAGTGAACACAAGTAAAGAAATACTTTATAAAGAAAAAGGAATTGTGTAGGACCTCAGAGTACAGAGGCAATGTGGTGTCCCTGAGCACAGCTGGGAGAGATGTAGAGGGAAGACTTCATTGGTTTAGAGGGGCTGGCTGTAGAAGGTGTAGAAAGGGAAGATTCCCACACTAGGCTGTAGTCTCCCCTTTGCCTGAACCTTTAAACCAGGGATTTGCAGGGATATAGCTCTGTGCATCCTGATCCTGGTTGCTGCTAAGGGGCTCACAATGCAAGAGGTGCTTCCAGAGATAACCCTCTGGCTGTCTTTGCACTGGGCAGGGTCTATGTAAGGGATGTTATCAAAAATTATGCTGCAGCCAAGTGGCCCCAAGGAGCTGTTCTGGTAGCTGGAGATCAAAACAGAAAGCTAGTCAAAAAGTCCCTAAAGTCACAAGTGAAAAAGTAAAAATCCTTAGATCTAGTATGGAGGTTATTTATTTAACAAAGACAACGGAGACTCTGAATAGTCCTAAACAAAAAAGGAAGCAGGTAGATAAGAAAAAAAAATGGCAAGATACAAGATTTTATTTCTCCACACAAATTTCCTTCAGAAAATAGAAATCATCCAAATGAAGTCAGTTGAAAGCACTATGACAGGTACAAAGTAAAATGGTATTAAGTGGGCTATGTCGGATTTTAAATAGCAGTTGGTAAAGACATTAAAAAAATAAGGAATAATTTAAATGTGTCAAAAGCAGGATGTCTGTGAATGAATTGGTGTGTCCACTCAACTACCAAGGAGTAAAGGGAGTGATTAAGAAGGAAAAGGGCATTGCAAAGAAACAAAAATTATTTCTTTGCACCATTCTTCACCAGAAAGGGTCATGAGGGGACATTTACTCTTTACAAGTAATAAAGATGAGGTACTGAAAGAGACTGAGGTGTAAAAAGAGACGGTGCTGGAACAATTTGATAAACTGAGGAGCAATAAGTCATCAGGATGAGAGGGTATAAACCCAAGAGTAAGAATGAAGTGGCTGGGAGGCTAATGAGTATGCAATCGCTCATTAAAATTTGCTATTATACTAGAGGGCACCACTCTTTCAAAAATAGTACTAAGGGAGATATAAGGAATTATAAATTAGGAAATCTAACTTTAGTCCCAGGTAAATCGGTTAAAATTGCAATTAAAAACAGAATTGAAATATACCTGTATGAACATGTTAGGTTCAAAGGACCAGCTTCTGAAAAAGGAAAATCATGCTTCTCTGATTTACTATAATGTTTTCAGCATGTCAACAGAAGTAATAAAGAAGAAGCAGATGGCGTAATACATTTGGACCTTCAAAAAGCCTGTGACAAAGTCCCTCGCAAAAGACTCTTAAAGTAACTAAAGTGTCCAAGGTGAGGATTGAGTATTCCTGGATCAGCAACCAAGAGGCAAGAAACAAAGTAGGAAAACATTGTCTGACAAGTTACAGTTACATACTAGGACTAGTATTCTTTAATATGTTTAATAACATTCTGGAAAAGAGGATGAACAGTGAGGTGACCACACTTGAAAGTGGCACAAAATTCTTTAGGTTAGTCAGGACAGAGAGAAGGGTCAGGAACCTCCTGTCAGGGACATTCAGGGCAGCATGGCAGCAGATGAAACTCACTGCAGCAAATGCAAGATAATACACTTTGGAAGGAATAATAATAATCATCTCAGCTCCTCATTTCTGAGTTGAAAATGAACTATAACCACTGTGGATATTCCTTTGCTCAATATGCATCAATGGTCAAAAAAGCAAACCAAATGTAAGGACATAAAAGTAAAGGGAAAGAAAATGATACTGAAAATATTATAATGCATTTATATAAACCAGGGATTGGCAAGCTTTGGCATGCGGCCCATCACGGTAAGCCCCTGGCAGGCTGGGATGTTCTTTTTACCTGCCGCATCCGCAGGTTCGGTCAATCGCGGCTCCCACTGGCCGCAGTTCGCCGTTCCAGGCCAATGGGGGCTGCGGGAAGTGGTGCAGGCAGAGGGATGTGCTGGCCGCTGCTTCCCGCCGCCCCCATTGGCCTGGAATGGTGAACCGCGGACATTGGGAGCCGCGATCGGCCAAACCTGCAGACATGGCAGGTAAACAAACCGTCCTGGTCCACCAGGGGCTGACCCTGACTGGCCGCATGCCAAAGATTGCCGATCTTTGATATAAACCAATAATATGCCATCACTTGGAAAACTGTGTTCAGTTCCAATCACCTTCTCTCAAAAGAAATTGACAGATTCAGAGAATTGCTGCAAATATAATCAGAGCCATGAAAAGATTCCCATATAAGGAGAGATTGAAAAGACTAGGAATGTTTCAAATAGAAAGGAAATGAATAAGAGGGGATATGAAATAATAGATGGAATCAAGAATAATAATACCTAATGTTAGAGGGCTTTCCCTTCACTCATCCCCTGGTTCTTGTCACGCAGACAGAAAGCAGAAGACCAGAAGTCCCAAGTGTAGGCAATGCGATGTGTATTAGGGTTAGTTCCAAGCAAGCACACATAACTCTGATGCCACAGAGTCTTGTTTCCCAGCATCCCATTGCCAGCTCTGACGCCGCAGAGCGTTGCTATGTCCCTGTTCCCCATTCCCACCCCCTCTTCCTTCTTCTTAGCAGACCCAAACATACCTGCAATGCATGCCCACAGTCCCACCCCTAACAATTTATGGTCGTGTTCCATTTTGGAGGGTCGTGGGTCTGGGTCTTCGTCCTACCTCTTTTGTACCCCATGGGAGGCGTAAGGAGTGAGGTTGTGCTCTGGCCAAGGCCAGGCCTTTCTTTGGCTTTTAGTGTGTCTTATGTTTGCCGGCCCTTGCCCCTCCTAACTGGTTGCTTGACCTTGGCTTGAGAGAGGACCTAGGCAGCCTTCCAGTGTATGCTCATATATTACACTCCCACCATACCCTTTTCTTATCTCTTAGTTCCATCTCTTATATCTTTCATCCCATCTGCTTGAGGGCAGTGCCTTTGTCTTTGTCTTTTGTTTACACATATTAGTATAAGATATAAGAGTATCAAAAAGTCAAACCCACAATTCTATCTCAGGCTGACAAACAAACCTATGTGCTGACACCTAACTCTTATTTAAATGCTTTTAATCTATAGCTCTCAGAAGGTTTTACAAAGGAAATAAGTAGATGGGCCCTGTTGCCATAATATCTGAGCACCTCACAATCTTTAATGTATTTATCCTCACCACACCCCAGCGAGGTAGCGCAGTGCTGTTATCCGCTTCGTACGGAAGGGGAACTGAGGGAGAGAGGACCAGATCCACAAAAGGATTTAGGCATCTAACTCCCACTTTAGGCGACTAAGTCCAAAATTTAGGCACCACCGAAATCCTCAAAACTGCTACTCAGCTGCCACCTAACTCTGGAGGTGCCTAAAGTTGTTCAGTGTCAAAATTTCTGCTGTTAAAGTCCCTAAGGTGCCTAAATTTCTGTCTCTGGCTGTGTACATCGCTGCCTCAATACTGATAGCCAGTGCCTGTCTCACACCTGCATAATCCTCAGACCAGGTGAAACTAGGCAATGTCCCACCTACCTCGCCTGCGGAGCCCAATCCAGTTGGCATGCTTTAAGCCATACACAGAAGCTGAGGGAGGAAGGATGCAGCAGTGGCCTTCCTTATAATCTTTAGTCCACTGGTTAGAACACTCACCTGGGATGTGGAAGACCCTGGTTCAGTTCCATCCTTAGAAAAGAACTTCTTTGAACTTGGGCTTTCCACCCCTCAGATGCATGCCCCAACCACTAGACTATGGAATAGTCTCTTGTGAGGCTCTCTCAATCTCTCTTGTTGAAGCTGTTCCACTTCATATTACATAATTAAAAAATGAAATAGACACTGGGTGAGAGAGTTGGTGACTGACTCTACAGCCAGTGATTAGGACAGTCAGAGGAGAGGTCGGACACCCAAAGTCAAATCCCTTTTCCACAGCAGGCAGTGGGAAGAACTGAACTGGGGTCTCCCACCTGAGTGTCTTATCTACAGGGCTAAAGGTTATAAAGCTACCACCACCTGTGTTTTGTGTAGAATTAGGAGGTTACTTCTGCCATTTTTGCAGACAACAGCTTAGGTTCCTGGCTCCAGGAGAAGGGTCCATGGCTGCACATCCCAAGCAGAGATAGGTGCTCCCCTCCAGCCTAGATTTAGGCACCTAACTCCCTGAAAGGGGCAGGGGTCAGGACACATCCCTCTCCTCTGCATCTGCTATTGGCTAGCTTTGACAGCTCAGTTCCTAGCATGCAGGCTTTCATGGATCCCATTCTTAGGCAGCCGACTTCCTCATGCATTCTACAGAGAGCCTAGGTTCCTAGCCCAGGGTTTGTGAATTCTACTGAGTGGCGAGGAACCACAATGCCTGTGTGCCTTGGGCCAGAGGACCTAGGCAACCAGCCCAAAGTCACAGTGAGTCTGTGACAAAGAAGGGGCTTGACCCTCAGTCTCCCAAGTACCAGCATAATGTCTTAGCTATTGGGCCTTGTTGCTGGTGCATACGTGTGATGTATTTAGCTGATTCTAGTGACTAAGAAAAACAGTTTTTGATTCTGTCCTTAAAAGAAATCAAGCTTTACAGAAACCTAAGTGTGCTTTGGCATCTGTTTCTTCTCTTGTAGGTTTCATTCCTGTCTATTTCCAAGAAAAAAAGATGGCTGCCACTCTAGGACTTATTTCCCTGTTTAGTTGTGTCGTGTTATTTCCTATGTTGCATGCTGTCATTGTGTATACAGAGTGTAAGTATAATGCTTTAATTGAGAATCTAAAGGACTGGGAATAATTCATCTCACTCTAGGGATATTTGCCCGTTTAGTTGCGCTATGTATGGTCATAACAGGCCTGCTAAATACTAGCCTCTGCACCTGAAAACTTTGAAAAATCTTATTGCATCCTTTCTGTTATTAATTCATAAAACTTACAGCGAAGTCATCATCCTCACCCATTGCCAACTTGACGCTGAATCCTGGAAAACTAAAGCTGACCTGGGACAGCAGTGTCACTGTTACTGAATACAGGTGTTATATGCGTGTAGGCCACAGTTACATCAGGGGAAACGTAAGTTTTCTATTTACTTATTAACAGAAACAATTAACTGTAGTTTCTTTTCCTTTTATATACTTGATTTATTGAAGAAACATATGTATCACTTGTAGTATCATAAAAACCTAGAAAATGACAATATGTTTCCAGAGTTCTTGGAGACTTTTATTACATATATTAGGGCAGGTTCAGTTCACAGTGAGGTATAGCATCAGAAGGGACCAACTAGAAACACCCCTTAGTCCAATGTCATTCAATATCTTTATCAATGATCTGAAAAAAAATGTAAATTTAATGCTGGTAAAAACTGTTGGAATAGTAAATAATAGGGATAGGTCAGTTATACAGAGCGCTGTAGATGACTGGGGGAAGTGGGATCATTTAAACAACATGCATTTTTAATGCAACATAATGCAAGATTATACACTTGTAACACAGAATGTAGGTCACACTTACAGAATGAGGGACTCTATCCTAGAAAACAGTGACCCTGAAAAGGACATAGGGTTAATGTTAAAAACCAGCTCAACATGCGCTCCCAGTGCAACGCTGGGCCACAGGTATGTCTACACAGCAATGGAGAGGTGTAATTCCCACTGCAGGTACACATTCACACCCTAGCTCTGCTCATGCTAACGCCTAAGAATAGCAGTCTGGCCTTGGCAGCATAGGTGACAGATTGGGCTCGTCACCCAAGTACAATCCTGCCCAGTCACCAGGCAGCTAGACTGACCCATTGTCCATACCACCACAGCCCCACTGCTATTCTTAGATGCTAGCTTGAGCAGAGACAGCATGAGTATAATTTCCAGCATGGGCAGACAAACTTCCCAGCTGCTGTGTAGACATACTCTGAGAGCGCTAATGCGATTATTGGATATATAAGCAAGAGAATATTGAATAGGCAGAGGGTGCTCTGTGTACAGCATTGGTGAGATTGTTATTGGAATACTGTGTCCAGTTCTGGTGTCACCACTTCAAAAGGATGCTGAAAATTGAAGAGTTCAGGATAGAGCTACATGAATGATCTGAGGTCTGGGAAACCTGCTTTGCAGGAAAAGACTTTGAGTATGTCTACACTACAAACATAAGTCGACCTATATTAGGGTGAGTTATAGCCACTGCAGTAATTACATGTCCACACTAGCCTCCTTGGGTCCATGGTGCACGTCCTCACGAGGAGCGACCTAAGAGAGGCAGTGTGGGGAGCTGAGCCATTAGTGAGCTCACTCTACTAAGCTTATCAAAGAGAAGAGTAAGAGGTGACTTGATCAGTCTATACATACCTACAGGGGGAGAAGACATCTAATAATATAGAGCTCATTCATTTAGCGGGCACCTTTCTTTGAAGCATCGACTGCTGGCCACTCTCAGAGACAGGATACGGGGCCAGATGGATAACTGGTCTGATCCAATACAGAAATTCCTAGCACACATTCTTGTGATCCACTGCATCTTATAGATACAGCAAAAGCAGAAAAGTCCTCTTGATGACAGCATACCTTGTTATAAAGGACTGTTTGGAGACCGTGGCTGCATGAGGGAAACTTTATTTGTTTCACATCTTGCTGTTTCTCCGACGGGCCAGCAGCACTGTTGGCGTTAGTCTTATTTTCAGAATCGGAGAATTTACTGGAATGTTTGCCTAAAACAAGGAGAAAAAGGTTTTGTTTAGAACTGCCTGGATAGTTTAGTGTGTGAAGCTTCCCTATGCAGGAATAAGCCATGTAGGGGAGTAGAAAGTCTGGAAAGATGCATTTGCAAAATTTCCTCCTTTCAGTTTGGCAATGGGGTTTGCCCTCACATAGAAGTAGCTGGTGATTTGGCCAGATCCTCAGATACACACAGATCCCTGACAATCCACTGGAGGGAAGGGGTGTCCAAGCAGAAGGCCCTTGTTTCCACACTGTCACACAAACCTTTCCTGCACAGCCCCTGCAGGCTGTAATCCACACAAATTACCAAATTTCGTTT